TAATAAAAAATCATTGCCGTAAAAATGATGGAAACTTTTGCATACTCTCAATGTTGTTAAGAAAAAACCAATTCCCATGATGATCTTTTATTGCAACAAAGATGGTTCTTTTTCCTGTATATAAGATTTTGAAAATAAGATCTTGTATATAAGTTAAATAATCCATACAAAGACTATTTTGTTTAGACAATATGCTAAGTATTAGCAATTGAATTAATATTTCTTTTAGTAAAGAGCAACAATATTTACGTAATCTTCTTAATACAAGAGCAAGTATCTTGTTATGATTATTATTAATGTAATGACTTAATGATCTCTGTATTGATAATTTGTCTGTATTGACTTAATCTTCTCTGTATGAATTTTCGATAGTTATTTATCAATGCAAATATTAAACGCATAAACAATATTTGTCGCAAGCATGGGTTTATTTAACTAGGCATCCTTTGATGCTACCTACAAATTGTTACATACTTTATACAAACCTGCTACCTACAAACCGCAATAAAATTTGATAAATATTAATCTGATTTCGAAAGTTATAGTTACATTGAACGCATTTGATTGTGCGGATTGCGTCATCATGTTAATTACGGATTATTGTATTATCCGGTACTTATGGGGTACCCAGAAATTATCAGATGTCTCTCTTTGTCTATATATTTTATTAATTTCGTTAATTGTTGGCTAACATTAACGATAATTCGATGATTCGGTATTGATAGGGCGTTCAAGTGCATTTGTTTATTTTTCCTATATATAGATTGCACACATTACGCAATTAAATACGTTGCATCATTATGTTGGCTTTCTATTTGTTTACACCAATTCTTATTTACGTATGCACGCATACACGCATGTATATACGCAAGATATAAAATATAGCTCGTCTATATAGCTCGTCTATATAGCTTGTTTGACAAGTTTGACGGAAATCACATGTAATATATACAAAGGGTTGAAATAGTGCTTTCATGTTTAGGGATCAAGGGGTGATTTCCATCCTTAAAATGTGTTGTCAGTCGATATAAAAAAAACACGTGTTCAATATTTTTCAATGTTCTACGTGCATGCCAAATTTCATCGGAATCGGTGAGTGACAGTTGGGTAGTGTTACTTGTAAGAAACGTTCCAGGCAAAACTTGTTTGGTTCGAAGGAGAATATAAGATGGTGTTGTTGATGCGACCTTGGATAGTTATCTGAAGGTTACATGAAGGTCACTTTCAATTTCTTAAATAGAACCCCATTTTTCATTGTGTATTCTTTAGTTTATTCTTTTTAAAACACTATTATAAAATTTTTTTTCGTTAAACATACTCTGGTATTCACTTTCTCAGAATGTACCGATAATGTTTTCCGTAAAAAATTAATAAATTAGCCCAAATAAACTAATGTTTGATCATTACTAATTGAGACATTTATCTTATTTAACTCTTGTTTAAACGAAATACTTCTTTATAAGAACTAATCATAATTTTCCGAAACGCAAGTTTAATGAAAACTTATTTATGTGAAATTAACGCCATATTTTATGTTTTAATAGTGTTTTTTTCAGATACAATTTATATATGTGACAAGTATCATCGATTTATTTATTAGCGTTGTATTTAATGATAGCGTGCGTACGAGTAGTAATTTTGCTACTTCAGAAGTCAGCTATATAGTACAGAGTATTTGGGATCTTTTTGAAACGAAAAATTGTGAAGATTAATCAGATCGAACTGAGAAGAAAAACCAAGTACCATTTTGCAAAAAACGCAATAGTTATTAAGTTAATGATTAAAAAGGATGATTATTAAGTTAATGATTAAAAAGGACCACATCTAGAGTTCTCTTTTAATCTCTTAATTGATACTATAAGTTAAAAACTTATTTACTTTTGTTAAAACTTTTTGTGTATAAAAAGTTTCGTGTTAAATTTTTTACACAGTCGTGTGTTAATTTAACATATCGTTGTTGTGTTACTTAGACTTTCTTGTGTTAAGTTAAGATTAACTATTTCCAAGTGTTAAAATAACACAATTTATATGTAAATGCATGAATTCTTGCTATGATATATTTTATATGTTAAAGTCAACACCTAAAATGTGTTATTTTCCTCATTATAACAGTTATCAGTCATGTGTTAAGATTTTTTTATTTTTAACACATAGATTATGTCAATCTAACATTTTCATTTCACCAAATCATGGATCATTACTTTTCCCAAATGTTGAAGTAACATTCATTATATGCCAATTCAACACAAACTATAATTCTTGACGTTATTCAAATGTTAAATTTTTGTATTAATTGTTTACATATTATGCTTTAAATTAACTTTAATTATGCGTTAAATTAACACATAAATGAGAATGATGATTTGAGACACATGAAATATATTAAGTTTAACACATCATTTCTTATAGTGTAGAAAATTTACGTACTTATTTGCAAAATGGTAAAGGACTTTTTGTTCAGAATGACTTAATTTACAATTATATAATAGCTATTATATAATAGCTGTGCCTAGCGACAGGTTCAAAATTCAGGGTTTGAAATTCGATATACTCATATCTATCGTTAGACACAATAGCCGTCATATAATTGCAGATTAGGTCATTCTGAACAAAAAAGTTAATTACCATTTTGCAAATAAATACGCAAATTTTCAAGTTATCAATTAAAAGATCCTCTAAATATGATCATTTTCAATCATTAATAATTTAATAACTACTGCGTTTTTTGTAAAATGGTATACACAATTTTTCTTCTTTCTTCTTTTGAATTCGTATTCATGTACGTAATATTAATATCTTTAATGGATAACTGATTATATGGGCAAGTCTGATTTGATTTGAAATATTTATAACACTGGATCAAATAGTTTTTGAACATAGCTATATCATAAACTGGACTTGAAAATGTGTCGTTGGAGACAGAGCTCGGCAAAGTTTACAACTTTCGGCCGATTTTCGGAAGTTACGCCTTCTATCTCCCCTTACGGCACGTTTAAAAAAAACCTCCGTTTTTTTTTTAAATGCATCGGCAATAGTACCTCATGAGTGACGAGGAAACCTATTATGTTACCTTCTAATTATAAAAATATAAGAAAAAAATATATATATACTTATACAAGTATATGTTTTTACAAGTTTGTATGAAATATTATACATATAGTTGTATCGACATTTATTTTTCAGCCTTTGAGATGCGTTAAAGGAGCGCGCTATCAATGCTAACACTTATTCTATCTTTATCACTCATTACATGTACAAGGATTGAATGATGCGTTAGAGCTGATCGATGCGCTCCCCGAACGCATCTTTAGTAGGCACCACATAGATGCGCCTTATGATTTCAACTGTCCTGAGGTCGCGAGCCGTGACCGTCAGTTGCTGGATCCGCCGCGCCGTAAGGGGAGATAGAAGGCATAGCTTCCGAAAATCGGCTGAAAGTTGTAAACTTTGCCGAGCTCTGGTTTGAGATATCGATAAGCTGAGTTACCGGTGTAAAGGCGACATAAGAACGGTTCTAACGGAATAAGTAGAAAAAGTTGTCTCTTTGCCTTGTATATGTAGTATGCTTCGCATACGATTGTTATTTTATATGCTATAGCGTATTACAACAACGAAGGTCTGCCGTAACAAACTTTGACAATTCCATGTGACTTGTGTGAAACACGACTGTATTTAACTGTCGCTTAATGTTTCAAAACTTCCTGTCTCTATATCTATGTGGATTATGTTCATGTTTTCAAATTGTCTTAAATTCACATTAGGAAAAACGAATGTCGCATAGTGAAGACTCTCAAGCTGAGATTAAGTTCCCAATATAATATCTTTATATGTACGAGAGTAGTCCCAGAAGTACCTGACCTAACAAAGAAAACATAAAAATTTGGGAAAAAATATCTTTATTTCTCTATATAGTCTCCTTTTAGCTCAATACACTTTTCCCAGCGATGTTCAATAGCTTCGATACCCTGTTTATAATGGGAATCGTCGAGTTCCTCAAAATAGCCATCAAGCCACCTTGGTCCATTGTTTTGACTGTTTCTTCGTCTCAGGTGTGAAGTGATGGACCCATGTTTCATCCATAGTTATGAATCGACGCAAAAACTCGGCTTTATTGTTGCGAAACTTCGCTAAACATTCGATTGAAACATCCTCACGACGCTGTTTTTGTTCCAATCGCGGCACCCATCTTGCGCACAGCTTTCTCATGTCCAAATTTTCAGTCAATATGCGATGTACAGCACTTTTTGAAATGCCTACCATGTCTGCTAACTCGCGCACTTTTAGTCGACGGTCATCCAATACCATTTTGTGGGTTTTCTTCATCATTTCTGGCGTGGTCACCTCATTTGGTCGACCACTGCGATGTTCGTCTTGGCAACTCGTACGGCCTCGTTTAAACTCTGCCACCCAATATTTTACTATTGTAAACGAAGGAGCAGACTCCCCCAGAGTAGAATCTAGCTCCGCTTTGATATTGGTTTGGACTGAGGCCTTTCAAATGAAAGTATTGTATCACATAACGATGACCAATTTTTCCCATGTTTACAAATTCACTGAGAGCGTTCACTATTGATAGCTGCCAAACAAATACTAAACAACGTAGTGTCGTCAAACTTTAAACTTAAGCTTTATAAGGTTGGTGCTTTCTACCATAGTCTACCATAGTCATTCTTTTCAAACAACAACCGCTATCTATACGTCAGGTCAGGTACTTCTGGGACTACCCTCGTATGTATTGTAATAAGGCAATATAAATCTTTCTAAAATTAGATGTATCCTTAATGTATTCATAATGTCTTAGGATATGTCCTAGACATCGGAATCATATTTTGTGTTCTTTTGATTTGATACAATATGATAAGAAAGTAAATAGAATTGAAACGAATGTTGCTGATTGCGCGATTTAATTGATTACTTGTTAGTATGCAAGAGGAGCTAGTTCTCATCTGAGAAAGAAGAGATAATAGCAAACTTGCTCTAATCCGTGACGTTCGTTCCAGTTACAGACAATGAGATGCAGACCACGTAATCTGATGCGTCGCAGAAGATGGCCTCTGCAGCTGGGTTTCTTCTTGATCTATGTTTTCGTGCAGTATGTCGCCTCGACGAAAACATTGTCTGATACGACGGTGTTCTCTTCAAGCTCTATGCAGGACGAAAATGATTGGACATCGACAGGATCATCAATTAGCATCACTGAGGAAGTAACGGAGGCTTTGCCAACGATCTCGGCAACCGTGGAGAAGCCCAAGGAGAATCCTACGGAGAAACCTAAAGATAGCATCGAGAAGACCACGAAGCTCCCTGAAATGGCTCTGTCGAAATATAATCGAGAAACCACCACGATCGCCACAGTGAGTGCGAGTTTCTGATATGTCGTGTATCATTGAAGACATTCTATGCATTATATCGGACGTGGATAAATCGTAATATTTTTAAAATATAAGATTAGAAAACGAACGAATCAATGTCACTATTTGTTTAGATCAGTACTGATAATGAAACATAGGGAACTCGAAAATTCAAAAAATTCTGAAACTTTATATGAAAGTAAAGTAGTTCATCCGTAACGCGAAACTATTTTTTGTTCGTGCGGAATTTCAGTCCGAGGGGGTGAAACCACCCTTCGAAAAAAGAAACCATTTTCATTTTTAGCGTACATCTTTTAAAATATGAGGCATATGCAAAAATGGTTTATATGAAAGTTGTAGTGTATCTCATATTTTTTGCAACTGTGTATTCGGATTTCGCAAAATTGAAAAATTTTTGAAACTCTCTCTTCCTTCCCATTACTTTCACAAAATTTTAAGTTGTTTTTAGGGCAAAAATAAAGAGCATCGTACATCAAATTCATCTGTGCATAACGGTAGAAACTGGAAACGATTACATTTTTTAGAGATAGAGGTAATTAGAGCCGTAGGTGCCTCACTGTAGGTAGGCGCTTTTGAATTGTGCTGAACTCAATAACTGCGTCTTGTTATCGAGTTGATATTTCCTATACTACAAAATGATAAGAACTTAATCCTAATGATATTGCAACGTATTACATAAGGCATGAACGAGAGCAGAGATTAATTTGCTTATATAAAAATAGTAACATGTGTGTGCCAGGGGATAGGGATGCTGCGGATAAGTACATAACATTCTCTGTATGCTAACAAAAGCTTACCTTGCACGCGAGATAATAGTCTTGGTAGAATTCGAATGATACTCTTAAAAAAAATATTATTATTATTCAATATTGTTTACTTATCTGTTCCACATGTAATATGCTGTGTAAACACCAATAATCACACAACAGATAATTCATACGTCCTGCTACAGTTTTTGAAACAGCGATGGAACAGTAAATTAACATTTAAAGATTGGGTATGAAACAGCGTATGAATGCTAAAGAACGTAAAATCTTTTTTAACTGTGAGGAGACTAGATACAATAAAGTAAAAGGAATTACCGTTTCCGAAATCGCAAAGATAGCGTAAAGCGTGAGCAAACTTATCATCATACATCATCCAAGTTGCAAAGGTTAATCAATATTAAATGTTATGCGTCAACAACTAAAAGTTACGCGGACGATTAGATTTTCGTGTCGCCTTGGAAGAAATATGGATAGAATCATCGGATGTATATAGCTTCCGATTACATACAAATTTTATTAAACACGTTTTTGACACTGTCATGGTGTTAGATCTTGCAATTGATCTCCAAACTAAAAATAATATGTTAGAATTGCAATTATTTGGAAATATAATCATTTCTCGCTCAGCTTTCAACATTTATTTAAATATACGTGGTTTAAAAATGGATAAGTGTACCGAGAAAATCGACAGAGTTTCGCACATCATTTGAATTTTATTTCGAAAACTATTCGAACATAACGCAAAGAAATGAAGGAAATGAAGTACACTCATGTTATTATTTTTACATAAGCAAATTAATCTCTCTCTCTCTCTCTCTCTCTCTCTCTCTCTCTCTCTCTCTCTCTCTCTCTCTCTCTCTCTTCTCTCTCTCTCTCTCTCTCTCTCTCTCTCTCTCTCTCTCTCTCTCTCTCTCTCTCTCTCTCTTTCTCTCTCTCTCTCTCTCTCTCTCTCTCTTTCTTTCTCTGTTCTCGTTCATATCTTATGTAATATGTTGCAATATCATTAGGATTAAGTTCTTATCATCTTGCAGTATGGAAAAATATCAACTCGATAACAAAACGTAGTTGTCGAGTATAGCGCAATTCAAAAGCGTTTATCTACAGTGCGGCGTATATAGCTCTGTGCATGTAATTATCTCTATCTCTAAAAAATATAATCGTTTTCAGTTTTCATCGTTATATATGGATGAATTTGATATACGATGCTCTTTATTTTTGCCTTAAGAACAACTTAAAAATTTTTGAAAGTAATGAGGAAGGAGAGAGGGTTGCAAAAATTTTTCAATTTTGCAAAATCTAAGTACACAGTTGCAAAGAGTATGAAATACACTACAACTTTCATATAAACCATCTTTGCATATACCTCGTATCTTAAAAGATATACGCTAAAAATGAAAATGTTTTTTTTTTGTGAAGGGTAGTTTCAGACTGGAATTCCGCACGAACATAAAATTTGCATTACGGATAAACTACTTTACTTCCGCACAAAGTTTCAGAATTTTTTGAATTTCTGAGTTCTCTACGTTCCCTTGTGAGATATGGACGTAAGAGAGAAACATAATATATGCGATGTATGATGCAACTTGCGTAACATTTATGTCAGGATGTGATACATCGAATGCTATATTGCTATATTCATGTGTTGACATTAACTTGATGTTACGTGACACATCTATCCGCACGTCATAAACCGCATGACAGCGAATCTGAGCTATCTATATCTGAGTGTCTATCGATAAATAATTATTAATAATTAACCTGTTTTGTAATAATTAATTTTGTAAAAATTCTTTTGCTGAAGATGCAGGTTACTTCAACTCAAGCTCCGACGAAGTATCCGTATTCGACGGTGAGACCGCGAAGAACTAATTGCTCGGCGCCCGCTATAGAACAATTCCCACGTCCGTTAATGGGTCCCGAGGCTAGAAAACACGGGGGACTCATAATACATATTTTAGTTGCTATCTACACATTCCTGGGTCTCGCTATCGTATGCGACGACTATTTTGTCTCAAGTCTGGACAGAATTTGTGAAGGTAAGGAATTAACCCAGTGAGCAATAAATTATTAATAGAACGTTACTGCAATGATATTCAATAGCACATAACCTTTTCTAACATGTAGTTTTTAACGTTGCATCGACATCATTACTATATTTTTAAAACGTTTTACAATATTCGAAAGGATCTTATTATTCAGTAATATCTTCGAAATATTTTCGAAATATTAAACGAAAATATCCGAAAGATGCATATAAAATCAATCATTTTGAAATATTGATCTAATCAATTCATTATTTATTAGAAATATATGCAAAGTTATTTCTTTTCTTTCTGTCTTTTTTTCATAAAACAGTATAAAACAGCCATAAAATGATAATCCTATACCAAGTTCTAGTATTACGTATAAATGGTTAGTTTTGTATAATGTCAGTTTTTTATTATTGAAACGCAGTAACACAGATTATTTCAATATGGTTAATTTTTTATTTTTTTAACTGAAAATGAAGATAACTTGTTTTATTTTTAAATTCGCGATACTTTCAACATATTCAGATTTATTTTCCGCAAATCATGTATATTATATTACAGACATTAATTCTACTTTTTTCAGAATTGAGATTGTCTCCTGATGTCGCTGGAGCCACTTTTATGGCTGCCGGCTCTTCCGCCCCTGAGTTAGCAACGGTGATTATTGGCGTATTTTTCGCTAAAGATGACATCGGAGTAAGTTCAATTATATTTTTAATCACTTCCCAGGCTTTGCTACGCTTGTTAAATATCACAAAACATAAGTCACTGATGAAAAGTATTACGTGATGCACGAACAACCTATCTGTTTTTCGAATAAGTGAAGATTTATGGTTATTGTATTCTGTGGATTTTGTATATTTATAACCATTGTTGTGTTCTCGAAATTTTTTGGAATGAAATTTCATTCGACAAATAAGACCATAGCTAAGTCACTCGAGTTTGACTAATTTTGTACTTATTCACAAATTCTTTTTTACGAATCGTTGAGTGAATATTTTTATTTGAAATTAAAAAGTAAATCCGATATATCCCATCGTAAGAAGAAATAGTTTCATCGTGTTTCATCGTAAAAACAAATTCAGTCTAATTGGAATATTCCTTCATATGGGATCAGAACTCATTTTTACGATTCCAAGTGATAATATTTTTACTGTCGTTTCAGTAGAATTTTCACCTGTTTCGAGTGAGATTCCTCTGTGAAAAATATAATGATCTAGATATATAGAGTGTTCGGGTTTTTGGAAACAAAAAATTGTGAAAATTATCAAATGAAACTGAGAAGAAAAGTCATTTACCATTTTGTAAAAATCATAATAATTATTAAGTTATTAATATTAATGATTGAAATTGACATTTAGAGGCTCTTTTAATTGATAACTTGAAAATTTGCGTACTTATTTGCAAAATGGTAAAGGAATTTTTTGTTTAGAATTACCTAATCTACAATTATATGACGGCTATTGTATCTATAATAGATATGAGTATATTGAACTTTAAACCCTAAGTCTTGAACCTGTCGCTAGGCACAATAGCTATTACATAATTATCAATTTTTAAATCATTCTGAACAAAAAAATCTTTTACCGTTTTGCAGATAAGTACGCAAAATTTCCAGTTATCAATTAAAAGAGTCTCTAGATGTGGTCATTTTCAATCATTCTTCAATCAACTTAGTAATTATTGCGATTTTTGCAATATGGTACTTGACTTTATTTTCAGTTTGATCTGATTAATCTTCACAATTTTTCATTTCCAAAAGATCCCGAATACCCTGTATAATATTCCATAACAATTATGTTCTAGATAATATTATAGATATATTATAAAAACGTTTTAAATAATTAAAATTAAAACGATCCAATTGAAAAGTTTTTTCTCGTTTATTCTAGGTGAGCGGCGTTATTGGTAGCGCCGTCTTTAATATAATGTTTGTTATATCGATTTGTGGGCTGTGTTCCGCGACAGCCTCCAAATTGAATTGGTGGCCTCTTTGTCGAGACTGCTTCTTCTATGCTATTTCAATCCTCGTGATGCTTGGTACGATTTATAACGAATCCATTTCTTGGTGAGTGGCCTGTCAATATTTTCCATTTTTTTACCCAATCATCATATTATTATTAATTATTATCATTATTATTATTATTATTATCATTATCATTATTATCATTATTATTTACTATCATATTATTATTTTTTGCACGAGGTCAATCGGATGAAGTTAACAAGTAAAAAACCTTATTAATGCAATTTTAATTATTGCAGGCTTGAGTCTCTATTTATGTTAATAATGTATATGGTATATTGCGTGGCGTTGTCCTTCAACGCTAAATTAGAACGTTGGGCGAAGTCATACAACATTCCATTCCTGCCGAAGGATGACGAACCAGCTGAAGAGAGCGCTTTAGTAAGTTACAGGTCTTTGCAGGAAGATCGGTTATCTTATACAGGTCCGAATTCGCCAGTTACTGAGCAAGTGAAAAATCAGGAAGGTAATTCATCACTTTTATCTATCCTTTTTGTATTTTTTATATATTTTCAAAATAACAATAGAGACGTTCTCCTCTTTCTTTCAGGAAGCGGCATTCAAGAGACCGAGCAGCAGCCGACAACACAACCGAAACAGCCTGAATATTATAAAGCAAAAGAGCCTGATCCTAATGAAGTGTCACCTCTCGTGATGCCGACGGATGGCAACAAGTGGACTTTATTTACCTGGGGTCTCGTCTTTCCTATTCATTTCATGTGTCGTGCAACGATGCCGGATTGTCGGCAAGAGAAATGGCGAAGTTGGTACCCTTTCACGTTTTGCATATCGATGATTTGGATTAGTTTTTACAGCTACATAATGGTGTGGATGATAACTATTATAGGTAAGACACATCATCTGAATAAATTAATAATTCCATTGAATCAAGCTATATATTTTGGTAAAATAACGATTTCATTTTATAGGGAGTACTTTGGGCATTCCCGATACCGTAATGGGATTGACTTTCGTCGCCGCTGGTGTGAGTGTACCAGATGCTCTTTCCTCATTAGCGGTAATAAAAGAGGGTCTTGGTGATATGGCGGTCAGCAATGCCGTAGGTAGTAACGTTTTTGACATTTTGGTATGCCTCGGCCTCCCATGGTTCATACAAACGGCCATGATACAGCCCGGTTCGCATGTAAATGTCACCAGTAGAGGTATGTGGACCTATTTTGTTATATTATTTGTTATATTATTCATGTATTCGTAATATGTACAGGATATTGTAACAATGTACAGATCAATATGGACGAATTGTTTATCTATTTTGCCGGTACACAGCACGATGCGCGATCCCGCAATCAGCATCTTTGTAGTATACTCATCTGCATCTGCCAAATATTAGGTGTTTCGGTTAATTTCCGCTGTTCGCGTTTAGATGGCAGCTAGCTACAAATGTAGTGAACTGTGACAGCTGAAACTCATGCCATATTAAAGGTTAGGCGTTTTTCAATAGAATTCAATCTATTAAGGTTTACTGCTGCAAGCAGTGATATTGTTTTTAAATCAATTCAAAATGGAACGCAATAAGTTCCATATTGTTTTTCCGATATGTTCTCCTTCATTACTTTGATGTAAAGAAAATTGCAACTGAAGCACATCGAATATTGGAATAGTGGAAACTTATGGTGATTCTGCTTCATCAGAAACAACATGTAGAGATTGATTTCGACAATTCAAAAGTGGTGATTTTGATGTGAAAGACAAGGAACGTTTAGGTCAGCCAAAAAAATTTGAAGACGCCGAATTGCAAGCATTATTGGACCAAAATCAATCTCAAATACTCAAGAAATTGGCTGAGGCATTAAATGTTGCAGTTTCGACAGTTTCTGACCGTTTACATGCAATGGGAAGAATTCAAAAGAAAGGAAAATGGGTGCCACATGAACTGACCGAAGCGAATATGCTGAACCGTGTATCCATCGCCACTACTCTGATTGCCAGGCAGAAAAAATAGAGTTTTTTGTACTGGATTGTCATTAGCGATGAAAAGTGGATCCATTATGACAATCTTAAATGCAAAAAATCATGGGTAGACCCAGGCCAACCATCCACATCGGCGCCAAAACGTAATATTCATAGTCTTAAGACATTGTTCTGTATTTGGTGGGATCAAGAAAGTGTTGTGTATTATAAGCTCTTAAAATCTAATGAACGGCTGTTACGGCTGACCAGTACCGACAACAATTATACAGTTTGAAGCTAGCATTGGATCAAAAACGACTACAAATCGCACACAACAAAAGAAAACTGATTTTATTGCTCGACAATGCCTGGCCACATGTTGCAAAAGTCGTCAAGAAAACGCTGATAGAGTTCGAATGGGAAGTTCTTCTTCATGCTGCGTATTCTCTAGACCTGGCTCCATCTTATTACCAGTTGTTCCGTTCAATGTAGCATGGCCTTTAAGATACACGCTTTCGAAATTACGAAGAAGTTCGAAAATGGGTGGGTGAATGGATTGCTTCAAAACCTGAGTCGTTCTATTGCCGTGGAATTCATCTCTTACCAGAAAGATGGGAAAAAGTAATATAAAACGATGGAAAATATTTTGATTGATTAATCAGTTCATTTTGTAATTGAAGTAAATATGTTTTTCAAGCAAAAAACAGCGGAAATTAACCGAAACACCTAATAGATATACTACCAAGGCCTATGGGATCCATGTCTATTCGTATCTGCTAGCGAGATGGATAAGCAACTCGTCTTTTTGTCCTGCATTTTGATACAACACACCCTGCACAATAATATACATAATCTTATGTTATTTACACGTTTTTTATTCTCATCAGGTTTGACATATTCCACTGTTTCCTTGTTATCGACGGTAATATTTCTGGTAATGGCGACGCATCTAAATGGTTGGAAATTAGACCGACAATACGGCATAGTCTTGATGGTCTGGTACTTGATATTTATCGTGTTCGCGTCGCTTTATGAACTCAATGTCTTCGGCGAGATGAATCCTCCAGTATGCCCCAGCAAATTCTAATACAATTCCGTTCATTTTCGGCCCTTGTTTTGCTCAAACGCGGAACGATCCGAGCAAAAAGCACGATTTCGGAGGTCGTCTCAGAAAGAATCGTCTCGCCCGATTGAATCGCGAATGATGACGCGCGATCGTAGATCATCATAAACGCTCAGTGAGTTTGTTCGATTGTCCCTATACCCCTTTTCCTTTTTACTCGATGATGAAGGCAATGAGAGACGTAAGACTTAGAAGCTAGCTGCATGTCGAAAACAAATATGATTTTAACTTGCTGTGGAATTGATCTGCCACTGTTTGAAGCTTTAGATAACGAAGAACCTATTTTTGAGCTTCTTTTCTTTGTGATTTGTCGCATAAAATCCAGACAAAACGTGCTCGCGCATAAGTACGCAGGCATTGTATCCTATTGACGCTAATGAAGAAGACCAACGAGTATTTTGCTTGCTTCTGTTCGTGTACGAGTCCAGTCGGCACGAATTACAAACGTTTCCCGTAATCGAATCAAGAAAGTACCGAAATAGTTATGAAAGTTACAAACTTTTTTCAAGATAATTAAATCGAGATGAAACTTCTTCGACAGACAATATGACTGTCAATAGTAAAGTGTAATTGCTATTTAATACGAGTACATTGGCAGTAATGACAACAGTTTGTTCAAGTAAGATATATGAACGTAGCGTATGGACTCATGTTGTAAATTAATCTTTGCAAAGTTTCGCATTTTCAAACCTTAACCCTTAGCCACAGACCGATAGAAGACGTGACGTTTTATACAGTCATATCGTGCATCCAAATGCCTGAGTACCACGGAAAGAATGCCAATTGACAATTAAACGTTTTACATCCTAACGTCTAGTGTACAAATACAGTAGAGGTTACAGCAGCTTGTTAAAATAGACCTTAGAGGCATTATGTCTGCGGCTAAATGTTAAGACTGTTAACAATGCTGTGCGAGAGAACCGTTGGAAGTAGCAATTAAGTTTATTCACGTTTCTACGGAATTGTTAGGGATATGTGATATTTGATGTGTGAAAGATGATTGTTTTTTGAAATTGTTAACGTGACGTTAAGTGCGATCCTTATTCGACGTGGCTACAATTTGAAAATAATAGTGTTTTTATCGCGATGTTTATGCTACACACACACACACACACACGCGTGCGCGCTCAATACACGCACACACACACACACACACATGCGCGCGCGCGCGCCCACACACACACACACACACATATATATATATTACACGCATGGTACGCGCGCGCGTGTGTGTACGTGCGTGCGAGCGTGCGGACGAGTATGTATACGTGTGTGTATATAACGACATATTCTATACACAAAATATCCATAATTAGAAACATAATGAAATTTCGACGCTTGTCCTGATCATGACCACCTTTCTCTCGCAATGCAACACGCGAGGAATATATTCGGGAGCTTCATGACACAAAATTGATGAAAATGACCAAATTGATTAAAGCAATTATAATTTAATTCTGGTGCCGCTAAAATTCTGCCGGGATATTGGAGTAACCGGGACGGGACTTCGCGAGATCAAAGGAGATCCCTCGTTAGCGTGAGGGTGAACATAACATTTTGTCTCTAACAATTTTCCCAAAAGGTAAAAGTTTGCGGGCCATAAAAAGAATGTCGAATTGAATTATTCGTTGAATGATGAACGTTATCTTCCGGTTCTCTGATGAAATGAGGTGAGGAGGATTTGCGACAACGAAGGAGCAAGCGAAATGTCTCTCGTGATTAATTGGAAACGGCGCCGAGGTGAAAAGGAGGGGGTTGGGATCAAGTAGTTCCCTACGAAAGCAAACTAACGCTGAAAGAGACAATAATTAATACAGCCTTATCTGATGAAAGTATTTACAACAATGACACTATACTGCGCGTTCCTTGGGACCGATTCTGGACGGGGTTATTTTACATACTCGCGAGTTTTGTTAAGAAGCCTGTAGGCTTGCAGGATTAGAATTTCGCACGGTAATCGAGGGTACCTCCGCTTCCGGGATCCTTTGATCTTTCGAGCGCGTCGGAACTACATCGGCGAATATCGGCGGGAAAGGATCATCTCGCACAATAGAATTCTCGTAAGAACCAGTAGATGGTGAGTGAGCCAGATTATAACGTACTAGGGTTGTCAGATGTCCTCTTCTGGGAAGGACTGTCCTTCTTTCTAGTCCAAAGTTGTCAACATTTTTATGTCCTGCCAAGGATGCCATTTGTTCTTTCTGCCGCATCCAAGGAGTTTCTTTTTGCTTGTCAGATATGCTGTCATAACGACTTATCATAGTCGTTACTTACTCATACAGCACAAAAGTTGCAGCAATGTTGCTATATGGGTAAGTAACATTTATGTCAATATACTTTTATCAATATTTACAGCTGTGTATATATATATGAAATGTATAGTATATATAGTTTAAAATTGATGTTCGGTAAGATGACAGGCGCACTCTGCCCGACGACTTTGTTTTTGCTCATCAAAATTTTCGGCCGTCTTTCCCCACCAACTTACGAATCTGGCAACCCTAGCGTGTCTTGCTCGAAGATATACCCGACCAAGCTTGCATACCCTACAATTTGCTTCCCCGATTTGCTTTGTCGACGCTCTCCGATTCATATCTCGCGAATATTCCGTCGATACAATTCGTTTCGTCATCGTCACTACGACGATGCATTGTTTTTTTTTCTTTTCCTTCTGTATTAAAATCAAACGATTTGGATACGCGGTCCGTGAGAGATCGCAAGGATCACGCAGACGCTTTTATATATATGTAGTGTAGTGTAATAGAAATGTGTGCACCCGCACGCGCATGTGTACGCGTATGTGTATGCATGTGTGTGCGTGTGCGCGTGTGAGCGTGTGTGTGTGTGTATGTGTGTAATTAAGTTTACATAGCGTATAAACATATTATATAATAACGCGAAGGATTTAGATTGTATGACTATTGAACGTTTAACGTGTTTGTTCACTATGTTTATCCGTTATTGTTAGAGCGTTAGAGAATGATAAGGAAACACGCATACAAGTATTATAAAGCGCAATGCGTCCGATATGAAAGCGACAAAATAGTTTTAAGATGATCTCGAGTGGCTTTAAATTTGCGACCAAGCTGATTTGAGACGAAAAGTATCGTTACATTTAGTGAGTTTACACAAAAACACGAGATTGTCTTAGCATCGAACGCATTTCCGCGCAGCTTCCAAGAACTTAGGAACCGATCGATCGTACGGTGCTTTAGATCTTTATTAAGCGGACCAGACTTTCGATATCGATTTCGCGGCTACTATCGGGCTTATAATTCGGGAAGACACATCGAATTTCTCGTTCGCGCACGAAGAATCTTTCGTGCAACAATTTTTAAGTCCGCGCTTTGAGCACCAACGAATGGAGCGTAAGGATTGATATTCATTGGGAGTCCACTCGTTCGGTTTCCAGTGAGATCCCATGTGGTAGAACCTTAGTTGGATTTTGGTCAACGGTCATTCAGGAACCGATGTCATTGCAGTCAATTCAACTGTGGCAATTATTACAGTAGGATTAAAAAGCGTCGCGAGCGGACGGACAGAAAGAGACGCGCTCTCCTTTTGACTCGCACACGCGCCTGCGCCGGAACATCGATCAATTCGAGGGTGCCCTTAATAGTATGTAACTGAAGTCAATATATCTTTTAGACTTTTCTCTCATAATCGCGTGACTCCATAAATTCGCCCGTCCTTTACGTCCCATCGTTCAGCGGTTCCTGAAGAATCGTGTCAAAAAACGATTATTTATCTCCACGCGTACGCATATACGCACGCACGCACACACGCGCGCGCACACACACACACACACACACACACACACACACACACACACACACACACACACACACACGCGCGCGCGCACGCACGCACGCACGCGCGCGCATACACATACACACACACACACACACATACATACAACAGTATTCTTGTATAAAACGAGAATGCAAGATTATATATATATATATATATATATATATATATATTATATATATATTAATATAATTATATATATATATATATATATATTATATATATATTAATATAATTATATATATATATATATATATTATATATATATTAATATAATTATATATATATATATATAATGATGATAATATTACTAATAATGCTAATGTGTAAAACGCGAAGGTAGAACAAGGCGTTGGTGTAGCATTTCGACAGAGAGCAGACGTACTTGTTGACTGGTGTAAACGTAGATTTTATATCACGACATTGTACTTATATAGATTCTCGAGTATCTCTAGGATTAAGTTTTGAATACATTTATCTCCACTAGCTACTTGCAGTATTATCTCAGTCTTCGCTGCGTCGAATACGTTCGTGTACCTGTAATTGAGAAGAGGGATCCCCGTAATTATTCGTTTTAGAGTACCGTCAGCATTTGATTCCTCATTACGATTCTTCTGTTTTCTTCTTTGTGATAATTTTACCCGAAGGCGTCTTGAAGAATCTCTCCATGTGCGGCAGTTTTAAAAATATTACAATATAATGAATGCGTGACGATGAACACATGGACATACATAAACATAACAAGATGTAAAGATACATACAATAGCATATAGAAAGTAGACATACAACGAATATAATGATATTAGCTGGCACGGAGAGATATTGTTATAATATCCTTTATTGCCTGGTAACGTTTTCGTTTATTTTAACGGTTAACCATTTTATACACCGTATAAAAATTATAGAGATTACCGGGATCTCTCCAACTTGTCTTTTCTCATTGTTATTCAAGATTCCAGAAGATATCCTAACGCGTCAATATATATCTAGTCATAGCTTATTAAAATGTTATGTAAATAATTGTTCTATCACAATATCGCACACATACAGAGTGCTCCATTCTAATTGATACAGCTGAATATTTCAAAAGGTACTCAGAAAATTGAAAAAAAATTTTATATCAGTAGCTTAATACAATAATGCATCTGTGAATAAACGTATATAGAATAAAAGTATTAGTATAAAATGAAATATATTCCATTTATAGAACTAAAATTGACCTTAAAATCATCTTGAGAAAACACTTCAGGGTCATAATAATGTTATCATTATGTATTTCCTCCAAAATTTTACAATTTTTGTTTGAAACATGTTTTGATCATCTCCGTAGCTATCGATAAAAGAAGCTACATCACTTAAAATGGGGTATCTTGCATGTGTGTGTGAGTGTGCGTGTGTATGTGCGTGCATGTGTGAGTGTATGTGTGTGTACATGCATGTGTGTGTATGTATGTTTATAGATTTAAATATATACAAGGGTGTTTATCATAATAGATCCCACGATTTTTGCAACATTTGCAACAAATAGATAAAAAATGTTTAGAATATTATATTTGTTTGGAGCAAGTAGTGAATTGCAATAAAAAATGTTTATAAGTAATGTTTTAGAAAATCAAGATTATATTGAATTTTTAAAATAGGATCGTGTGAAATTTGTAAAATGGATATTTTAAAATATAGGATATTTTTTAATTATAATATTGTGTAAAGGACATCAAGACAAATTCAATACCGGATATATTCTTTTTATTTACACTTGATATAAAATTTACAAAGTTATTATTTAAATTATCATAAGATATCTAAACTATATTCTGTTTAAGTAATTTTATGTCACTCAAAATCGGACTAAAAATATAAACATATTAGAAATGGAATAACGATTCTCTCATTAATGCTATTGAAATAACAATTATTATATTTTCTTGTATTGATAATATAAAAGTTGTTTCTATATATATACAGGGTGTCCCATTTTAAAAGACTCACTCAAATATCTCAGAACCACTACTCAGAACCACTATCTCAGAAACACTACGTTAAATCGAAAAATGCTTAAAACAAAAGTTGTTGCTTGAAGGGGGACATAGGATAGCAATAGCATTTTGTTTATAGATGGCTCCATTTCCGAGATATTTACTAGAGATATTTACTAGAGATGATTACCAATTTTCTTAAATGGAAATCCAAATTTTTTATTATATCATCTTTTTCTACCAATTAATTTGAACAACTTTTGTCTGGAACATTTTTTTATTTGCTTAATATATTTTGAGATATTTAAGGAAAACTTGATAACTTTTCCAACATTTACCTTACGATATCCCGCTAACTATTCGTCGAAAGAAAAAATAGTATTAGACATTTTTTACTTTATTTACTACCAAGAATATATTACTATAATAGTGCCCTAACTTTTGTTAATTTAATAATTTTGAAATTTCCAAAGGTCGATAAGTTAACAAAAGTTAGGACATTATTATAGAAATATATTCTTGATAGTAAATAAAGTAAAAAAAGTTTGATACTATTTTTTCTTTCGACGAATAGTTAGCGAGATATCGTAAGTTAAATGTTGAAAAAGTTATCAAGTTTTCCTTAAATATTTCAAAAAATATTAGGCAAATAAAAAATGTTTCAGACAAAAGTTGTTTAAATTAATTGGTAGAAAAAGATGATATAAAACTGATGATATAAAAATAATAAAAAACTGGGATTTCCATTTAAGAAAATTGATAATCAGTGAATATCTCGAAAGTGACGGCATCTATAAACAAAATGCTATCGCTGTCCTATGTCCCCCTTCAAGCTAAAAAACTTTTGTCTCAAACATTTTTCGATTTAACGCAGTGTTTCTGAAATATTTGTGAGTCCTTTAAAATGGGACACCCTGTATATATGTATATATATATATATATACATATATATATACATATATATATATGAAATGTTCAACTTATATAAAAGGTAAAATTCAAAATGAGAAAAAGAAAGAGAGAGAAACGTTAATATTTTAATATAAATAAAGGATTTGCAGCACTATTTTTACTGCAACTTGTTGTTTGTTTAAAACAAATATAATTTTATATATAACATTTGTTTGTTATGAATGTCTTATCAATTATGCAGGGGTCATTATGGTAAACATTCTGTGAATTCAGGATGTAAACTAATTTATATTCACTATTTACATAGTATCAGATAGCACATTTCTTATTAATAATTAAATCGTGTACTCTTGGGACATCACATTTCTGCTCTATTTATTATACATAAGTACATATAGAGTGCCCCATAAGTCGAGGTTAATTACTCAGAAGATAAATGGGGACCCTAAAACAAAAAAGAAAGTTGATATGAACATAATTCCGCAAATGCGTGGTTCTCGAGTTATCGTCATTCTTACGTTGAAATTTGAAATTACCTTGCTTTCGAATTTTTGTCAAAATTGAAACAAGAGATAGTTTTTATGAGTTTTATAGCATGATTAAAGTCAAATAAAAATTGCGGGCTACTTTAGCTATCCAGCACTATCAAAATACAGCCCACAGCCCAATACCATAGGAGTGACGAACAGTAGAGTCCTGATCTCTGCCAAGGGATATTAAGTGGGTTATACCTTGTTAGTGCTGAATAGTGCTAAAGCAGTTCGTAATATTTGACTTTAATTATGTTATAAAACTCATAAAAACCATCTCCTGTTTCAATTTTAACAAAAAAATCCGAAAGCAAAATAATTTCAAATTTCAACGAAAGAATAGCTATAATTCGAGAACAACGCATTTCCGGACCTATGTTTGTATTAACTTTCTTTCTTGTTTTTCCTCATTTATCCTCTGCGATTGACCTCGACTTACGAGATACCCTGTATAATATACGTAATTATATATATACTTACGTATATATATATATATATATAAAATTATATTATATATATACTTATGTGCACACACACACACATACACACACAAAACAAGATTTTATTTATTAATTATTACTTTATTAAACCCTATCAGAATAAATGGCTTAGGACTCTTTTTCTCAAATCTTCATAAAAAATAGTACTTTGTGAATAGTGAGTGCAAATTAGTTTACATTCTATATAGAATACATTTGGCAAATGTGCGTGCGTGTGTGTATCAATATACATACGTAGCACAGTGCAGAGCCTAAAGTACATATTATAATAAATATATGCACATCCTCTCCCTCCCTCTTATTGCAAGGAGACCTATATACCGAATAGAAACAATTTAATATTATATATACTTTGTTTAGCTTGAAAATGGGACGAAGGTAGACGAATAGTTATGTATTCTGATGTATTTAAAACGTTTAAACAATAAAGAGCTATTGCTACTAATCAAATTTAAAAAATTAAATAGTTAGTCTCAGTATTAATTTTATAACATTTAAGTAGATAATAACAAACCCCGGAGAATAATTCAAAAGAATATATATGTTTATGTACAGAGTAAATCTGATAAAAACCATGTTTTTCTTATAAACGATTAGCGATAGAAGAAGACATCTATTATTAAAATTATAGGACAAGTAGGGGTACATTTGGCTTCTAAAGTGACCTCGAACATCAGTATTTTATACTAAAGAAGAGTTTTTTTTTTTAATAGATAGTACATTTCAGTCATTCTATAGATAGCACTCGATGAGTTTAATATAACTTTTGTATCAAAGTATCTTATAAAATTTTAACTATTGTCGGAATATGTCAACAAAAAATTATTTCTCAAACGTTTATGAAAATATTGTAATTAAAAAATCTCGAACTCATATGGTTCAAATGAGCAGAGCATTTAATTGAAAAACTCGTAGCGCAAAGGCAGATAATTGGAAATCTTTTAGGATATATTTCTTTTACAACAAAATGCAGTTACACAAAATAAATGTACATCACATAAATTAATACGTTTTGTCTATTTATTGCGTATTACAAAGGTTATATTTTATATTAGGAGGTTGAATTAGTTCTAGTTCCTGGCAATAGATGGCTTTAGTAACAAGTTAATATAATTAGCATGAATGTTGAAATCTGGCAACACTGAAAGATTTGACGTTTCTCTATGACAGTTTGAGCGCTATTGTTACTGATAGTTTTATTATTTACATGCGTCTAAAATGGATCGTACAAAATTGTATTTTCGACATTTACTACTTTTTTTGTTTGATTTGAAAAAATCGAAAACCAAAACTCATGAAATGCTTGTTACAACTTATGGTGATCAAGTTTCGTATTCCAACTGTAAATTTTGAATTCAACAGTTCAAAAGTTCTGGTTAACCAAAAAAATTCGAAGATTCTGAATTGCAAATATTATTGAATGAAAACACCACGCAAACGGAAAAACAATTGGCTGAACAACTCAACGTCGATAAATCAACAATTTCTAAACGCCTACGCGCTATGGGAAAAATTCAAAAGAAAGGCAAATGGATTCCACATAAATTGAGTGAAAGTGCTATTGCAAATCGTTTGAATATCGCCATGTCTTTGTTTGCTAAATAGAGGAAAAAAAGTTTTTTTGTGGCGAGTTGTAACTGGAGATGAAAAGTGAATTTATTTTGATAATTCGATAAAGCGAAAAACATCATGGATTGATCCAGGACAACCATCAATATCGACACCAAAACGGAACATTCATGGTCACAAAAAAATGCCCTGTATTTGGTGGGATATGGAAGGTGTGTAGTGTACCATGAGCTAAACCGAATGAAACAGTTACGAAGGAGCGATATCAGCAATAATTGAACAAATTGAATGATGAATTGATGCAAGAAAGGCCAACGATAACCATCTATAGACGCAAAGTGATTCTTTTGCACGATAATGCTCGTCCACACGTTGCTTTAATTGTTAAACAAACATTGTTAAAGCTCGAATGGGAAATCTTTCCGCATCCAGCGTACTCTCCAGACCTAGCGCCATCTGATTACTATCTCTTCCAATCGATACAACACGCTTTGGCAGATACACACTTCAATAATTACGAGGATGTGCAGAAATAGGTGTCTTGGATTGCTTAGGAAGACAGATCGTTCTGTCGTCGCGGAATCGCTATGTTGTCAGAAAGATGGGAAAAAGTCACAGCTAACGACGGAAAGTATTTTGATTAATGCAAATTTAACCATTTATTTAAAATAAAGATACAAAAATGGGCAAAATAAGACCAGAATTAATTTAACCTTTTAATAGTTCCATTTAGAAAGACAAAAGTCATTTTTAAACTTCGGAGGTATCTTCACCTAGTTAAACCTAGATTCACCTAAAGAACAAAACTGTGTTTATCGTAAGATGCTTCTCTCAGGACTGAGTAAATTTTATCTGAAATATTCTTTTTCAAATAGTAAATACATAGTTTAGGAGACAATCGCGTGGAAAGATTAAAAATAGGACATGTTGTATATATTTTTATATTTATCTTAAACTGGTATAAATATGTACATATTTTAATAATATTTGTTTAAGTAATTTTCATAGTTCTATAACACTTATCAAAATGTTTGTAGTTTTGCAAATGTATCTTACAACAACATTTCGTGAATAATTGCGAGAGACAATATGTAGCATATGTATTTCTTCGAAACTTCATATTATCTAGATCCTTGAAATTTATTTTACTACCTAGACAAATTTGAAATAAATACTTGTAGTTTTCTTCTCAAAATCAAGAATTTATGATCTTTTGTTTTAGTGGTTGGTGTGACTCTTGCTGTTCCTTATTACATGATATATTATGACCTGACAAAGATTGCTGTTTAGGCGAGCAATTATCCAAAGTCGACTCAAGAGCATAGAGTTTGATAAGTTCCTGCCGAATACGATCCAGACATTCTAAACGAATGATCCTTTTGTCAAAATTTGTCGAATTCCCATCAATCGTTAAAGCGTTCAATAATGATTGGCATTCAATCTCTTGAAATTCACGAGTCGTCTTCTCAATAATTTCCTGGTCTGTCCGTTCTTCCTGTGATACAAAATTCTGTACAAAAGATAAAGACAATATATTAAAATTAATGAGAGTTAATGAAGTATATATTCTTAAAGACCACACGACATGTTTAAACGACATTTTTTTCAATGTTAAATTTAAACGGAACTCACTTTCTATTTTTCTCTATTTTCTCTCTTAAAATAATAGCTTAAACATAATAAGCTTTAATTCTAAATCCTTATCGCGATTATATTTGATATTGGTGTCAGAGACACCATGAGACAATGAAATGACACTGAAAATTTTCGAATGCTATTTCCAAATAAAAAGATATTTGTATGAAAAAATAATAAGACTTTAATATACTATTGTCGCTCGACTTTGATGAAATTTTATAGATACATAATTCATTATAGATACATAGTTCATTAAATATAATAAAATGTTACAAGTACGAATATGCAGAATGCGGGAACGTATACTTTTAATATGTTTATATTCACATTTGAAACAGCTTATTAAAACTAAAAATTTTTTTTAATTATCAGCGAATATTTTCAAAATACTATAAAGTATATAAAAAAATATTTATAAAGATTTTATAGTATTTTATATAATATTAATAATATTTTATATAATATTAATAAAGTTGTATTCAGATTTTCCAAAAATATCAAATCTTTTAATTTACTTTATTTAATTTTTGGAATCAAAGGCATCCTAAATATGAAAAGTGAAAGAAATCATTTTGAAAAAGCACTCCAATTCCACGTGGATAGTAAAAAGAAAAAAGACAATTAGAATTACAATTTAAAATATCAACTTCAAAGAAATTAGGAAAGTGTCATATCTGACATTAGTCTTGTAGTCAACTGATCAAATACATAAATAGAAAACAACCTATTAAAATGCATCTAGAAATACCTCACATCTGTCTTATAAGCACTTCTTCATATGTTTGTGAAATACTAATTTCCAAAATTAAAAAATTATGTAATTCGTGGAAAAATAAAAAAAATCCTAAACAAATACACACGGTTGGATTTGTATTAACCAGAGCTACAACTTTTATTAAGAAGAAAAATCGATTTTCATTCGAAAAAAGCGATTATTAATGAATTTATTAAAAGTGACGCCATCTGCAAAAATATTGATATTGCTATTTTGTGTCCCCCTTGAGGTCAAACAACTTTTGTACAAAATAGATGCTTATTTCATTTATGGCGTTTGTAATGGAGATATCGCAACTATTGTTATTAACAAATGATTTTATTGATTAACTTTTTTTTATTTTATATCGTATTTTATATAGTATTAAAAACAAATTCATTATTTTTTACTCGTATTTCTGTTGTAATGTTTTTAAGAAAATCTCCAAAAACCTATATTTATATAATATTTTTCTTTATTATTTCTACTGTCATAAAATATACTAACTAAAAATTCTGAGATTATATATATTATATATTATATATATATATATATGTATATATATATATATATACTTTTGTGTCGTCCATGGTGCCGAGCATGTGATCGATAGATTCCAGAATATGATATTTTGTATTATAAAGGTCCAGTTTTGCTGCGTATGCAGGTTCGTCAGGTCCAATTTCCATGGATTTATTAATTGACTTTTTAGCTAGCATGAATGGCTTACTACTAGTTGCACAATAAGGATCGCAACCAAGCATTTTCGGTTTTGTCACTTTCCTGATATCGAATTTCTGTCCTTCGTTTCTCTCATCACTTTCACTAATTATAGGCTCTTTATGCCAATTCTGTTTCTCCAAATGTTCGAATATTACATCAGATTTTCTTATATTCTGAGACCGGTGTGCATTTAGCTGATGTTCAACATCATTTTCAGTCTTCATTTCCGTAACGTATTCGTTGTCTCTGTCAATGCAATGACGTCTCGATTCGAGATTTAACGCGTATGACTTCTTTAATTCATGAATTTGTTGGATGTAATTCATTGATACTTGATTGTTGGTATTGAAAAATCTTTGTTCGCCCGGCGATCTCTAAAATACAATAAGAGCGTTAGAGAACTGAAGCAAGTATTTCCTTTTTGATTCTTCGTTAAAAATTAAATTAAAAATTAAAAAAAAGTTATATGTAAATAAAGATATAAAAATAAAAGTAAAAGAAAATTAAAATTAATTTTATTAAAAAGTTAATTAAATTTAGTATATATTACAAAGTTTGTTTCACCTCAGGCTCTTTACAACAATTATGTTTCTGCAACGAACTTTTAATGGGTCCTGATTGTGTGTACTTGGAATATACTTCGACATCTTCATTAGCGAATTTCGGTTTTTCTTAAAAGATTCGATAAAATTAGATACGAAAAACTCTATATAAATAAATTGTTTTTAATTTGTGAATCAGATTTGGCTTGTCGTCAGATTATATATGCATCTAATATAATTGATCAATTATTTATCTTTTTCATATTACTTATCATAAAACCTGTTTATTATTTTTAATAAATTTCAATCTACAATACTTTATTAAATTAATAATATTCTATCGTTCTTTTGGTTCGTGAATGTCAAATTATGTATTTAGTATCCCTTTTTTTTCAAATCCTGATGAAATGATAAAAATATAACCTATTTCATATATCTTGACCATCTGAAATATTTCAGTTGTGTTTAATGATACGAAAAAATGCGAGATTAGAAAAAAAGTTACAGACTTAGTTATAGGTTTCCAAGGTTTTCCAATGAGATTTAAAGAAAAAAGATAATCTCGGTATTTAGCTTCGACAAGTCAATACTTATTTACAACACGATAACATCCGGTGTTTTTTATTGTAATTATTATAATTATTTCAATTATTATTTCAATTATTACATCGAAATATACAAAATAAATATAAATTTAGGATTTTTCGCAGAATAGCGGAGCGGAAAATAAAGAGACTGCTACAAAGAAATTTATTATAGAAGTAGTACGGGAATTACCAGTTAAAAGTTAGAGGGAGGAACATTTGAAATATCGGGACACAAGATATATGCATTCTTTCCTTCCGTTAAATATTTTAAAACAATTTCGCTTGTTCATGTTGGTCTGGCATGAAGAACAATGGGTAAAAAGAGCCGATTTTGGCCCATCGTGGAGAATGGATAAAACATATCATTTCCAGAGGATTTTAACCTGCTGAATACGATGCCGTTGTTAGTTTTCGTCTAAAACCCGGGAAACATGTTCTAATCTGAGGATCTATCATCCAATAATCGAATGGCCCGGGAAACCTTTGCGTAAACTTTGAAACTATTGCAAACTCATGTATTAGCTAAATTAGTCGAAGACAGTTTAGATTTTTGATTTAATAGAATTTCGATTTACTAGATTTTCGATTTTCGATCAAAAATAGAATTATTTTTGATTTAATAGTTGGAGGTATTTGGAGGTAACAAATAATATACACGGTGTCATAGACCATCCATACCATCTCATCTTTTTGTAAACGCGACATTTTAGGGAAAAATGTTTCAGACAAAAGTTATATAGTTTCAAGGGGGGCATATAACAACTCGGCAATAGAAAGACCTGGGTTCGATTCCCAGTCTAGCGACTACTGTGCTCTCGAGATTTTTCTCTCTTAGGAACGAAAATAAGATGCAGGTCCCGAACGTACGGCGTCCTGTCGCCACCTAGTACGTCCTCCTTTCATGGTGGATCTCCCTTCGGCGCATTGCAAAAACGTGTCCAAGCACCCGAGGGCAGCCAAAAAATATGGCGTCGAACCCGGGGCTTATTTGTATGATTTGCACCGGATAAGGAGGGGCAACGGTGGAGGCCGGCATACATAAACAGCAGGTCTTAAAGGATAGCAACCTTTGACTTTGAGAGACCTCCAGCTTGTACCACTAGGTACAAGTAATACCTCGTCTACAGGTCATTCTACAATACGTGTCGTAAGTTGTAAGCCGTAAGAACTGACCAATTATAGCCGATTATTTTTGTAATAATCGACTGTGATTCGCCAATTCTTACGGCTTACAACTTACGACACGTATTGTAGAATGACCTTTAAATAGAAGTCGTAGAGTCGTAAGTGTAGAAATTGACCAATCATAGTCCGGTAAGAGAAAAATAATCGACCGCGATTGGTCAATTTGTACGACTTACGACTCGTAGACTGCGTTCCGTTTCACGCATCGAGCGCATCGATCGCAACCAATACGTTGCGCGCATTGATATCGTTCCGTTTTCGTTAATGCGCCTATGCGCTTTTGGAAACGGAACGACTTTTGACGCGTTTGATGTGAAAGGAAAAATGGATGCTACCATGGTCACAATGGACATCGAAACATTGACAACAATAGCCTTTTTTTCATTAGTGAATGATGACAACAGAATTAGCAGCAGTAGTAGCAGTAGTAGTAGTGAGTCTATATTTTATCAAGAAATCTTGATCTGTAGAAAAATATTCACACACATGCATTAATTTAAAAATACAATTGAATTGTTTCTAAAACTTAAAAATTTCAATTTTACCTTTCGATGCTCTTAACGCGATCTCTTTTTCGAGAAACATAATGATCATTTCGTTATCCACTAATACGGGGAATTCAACTTTGTCGACTTTGTCCATTGTACGTATCTGTGATTATCTGTATGTTTAAAATAAAAAAATGTCGGTTTTACATTAAATATATCAGTCATCACGTCACGTTGTCAGTATTTAAATAGGGTTATATAAAAGATTATAAATACTAATCTGCACATGCCCGCATCAACTGCTTCTACTCCGAGCTGTAGTAGCTAATGCGCGCTTAATGCGATAGAGGTGGGGGGATCCTAGGGAATTCTATACGCCACCAATGCACGCATTAGCTGAAACGGAACGGTTCTCGATGCAGTTAATGCGCTCGATGCGTGAAACGGAACGGACCCTATGGCCGGTATTCATAGTCGGATCTTAAATTTAAGACCGTCTTAAGTTTATTTTCAGATGCTATACAAATTATTTCGTTGGCTATGGGGTATCTGAAAATGAACTTAAGACGGTCTTAAATATAAGACCTGACTATGAATACCGGCCTATGACTTCTATTGTAGACGATTGTATAACAATGGCCACGTTCAGTAGACTCAACAGTTGGACAACATTACTAGATTTACCACTGAATCTCGCTCCTGATTGGTAAATATTTCTGGGTCTATGAAGAATTTAAAAGAATGCTCCAATCACAGACAATAATCACTAAGCGCTCTCTGATCACTTTGTTCTACTGAACGCAGCCATTGTCTGTGATTAGAGCATTTTTTTAGATTCTTCATAGACCCAGAAGTATTTATTAATCAGGAGCGAGATTCAGTGGAAAATCTAGTAATGTTGTCCAACTGTTGAGTCTGTTGAATGCAGCCATTGGCCGCGTTCAGTAGAACAAAGTGATCAGAGAGCGCTTAATGATTATTGTCTGTCATTGGAGCATTCTTTTAGATTCTTCATAGACCCAGAAATATTTACCAATCAGGAGCGAGATTCAGTGATAAATTTAGTAATGTTGTCCAACTGTTGAGTCTGCTGAATGCAGCCAATTTCTTTATGATGGCGCCATTTTCGAGATATTTACTGATCATTACTTAAATGGAAACCCTAATTTTTTATTATATCATCTTTTTCTACGAATTAATTTCAACAACTTTTGTCTCAAATGTTTTTTTATTTGTCTAATATTTTTTAAGATTATTAAGGAAAACTTAGTAACTTTTTCAATATTTAACTTACTTTAATTTCGCTAACTGTTTGTCGGAAGAAAAAATAATAAAATGAGTTTTTTACTCTATTTAGTCTTAAGAATATATTGTTACAACAGCGCTCTGATTTTTGTTAATTTGATGATTTTGAAATTTCCAAAAGTCGATAAATTAACAAAAGTTATGGCAATATTGTAACAATATATTCTTGAGACCAAATAGAATAAAAATATCTAGTATTATTTTTTCTTTCGACAAATAATTAGCGAGATATCGTAAGTTAAATATTGAAAAAGTTACCAAGTTTTCCTTAATAATCTTAAAAAATATTAAGCAAATAAAAAAATGTTTGAGACAAAAGTTATTAAAATTAATTCGTAGAAAAAGATGATATAATAAAAAATTGGGATTTCTGTTTAAGAAAAGTAATGATCAGTGAATATCTCGAAAGTAGCACCATTTGTAAACAAAATGGTATAGTTGGTATATGTCCCCTTTAAAATCATACAACTTTTGTCTGAAACATTTTTCCCTAAAATATCATATCGCGTTTACAAAAAAATGAGATGGTACGGCTGGTCAGTGACACCATGTATATTATTTGTTACAGCAAATTTTGCAAAAAAAGAAGACACCTCCAACTATTAAATCGAAAATAATTCTATTAAATCGAACTATTAAATCGAAAATCTAAACTGTCTTCAGCTAATTTAGCTAATACATAAGTTTGCTATAGCTTTAAAGTTTACGCAAAGGCTTCCCGCGCCGTTCGATTATTGGATGATAGATCCTCGGGTTAGAATATGTTCCCTGTTTTAGACGAAAACTAATGACGGTATTGTGTTCAGCGAGTCAAAATCCTCTGGAAATGATATGTTTTGTCCGTTCCCCACAATGGGTCAAAATCGACTCTTTTTAGTCATTGTTCTATTTGGCAATAGCCTGGTCGAATATAGCACAAGTAGAAGGAAAGAATAGAAGAAAGAGGGAAAAAAAAAGAGAGAAGAAAAATAACAGCGTGAAAGGATACTGTGAAAGATTCTACGAAAGACGTAACAATATAAAACGAAAAAACTTTTTTATATTAGCTGCAATATGTGAAGCCAATTAAAAATGATAATTTCAAACAACGTAATATAGCATTTTAAAAGTTTGTATATATTTTTATCATATTTTTTTTATCGGACGTCGTAAGAAAGGAAATTCATCATGTCTCTCTTTATCCTAAACGTATCTAACAAATATTTATTAATGCTTACTCCTGCGCTGTCGATGAGTTTGCGGCAATCTTTTCGGGCAATAAGGACGAGTACTTATTTGGTAACCGTGCCGATATGCTTTTCGTGATAAAGGGATGCTTTGCGACTTTTTGATTGTCAGATTAATTGGTTCTGTGAAAGTATGTCCGTTTAGCATAGCCTCAACGTTTTCCAAAGTCCTTCAAAACAAAAATGGACTTAATTAGAAGTGTTATTTAATTCTATATGGATTAATTATAATTTGATTAATATTAAATTATAATTTGAAAATTCAATTATTTCAACTATTATCAATAATCATATGTTGCTTATTAAGCAACGACGTTATTATACGACGACGTTAGTTATACATGTTATATTGAAAATTAATTATAATAAAAATTATTGAGGAATATATTCACCTTGATTTAACAGATGAAGAAAGCCTTTGTTTCTCAGGCAGACAATAACATGAAGGACAATGTCTCTTATAATATTGCATTTTCTTCTTACGTGCCTCGATATCGCATAATCTCTCATTTTCATAGTCACAGTTAGAACACAAATAACTACTATTTCTGTACACGCTCGTGGGCATTCTATTGTATAATTCCAATTTTTCCTGAAATAACCCCATACAACTATATGACAAAATATTAAATATTTAATCTTATTTGAATATAACATTAATTTACCATATTCATATTTTGCGGCATTGTTGTAACTGAATCAAACGTCCTTCTCATAAATTTTGTATGTAGTATTAGTTATATGATATTACATTGATTATTAAGTAACTCTCATGACACCATCACTACTACATAACTTGTATAATTTGAGAGATGTATATTACACACATAAATTTCGTGCAATTTGTTATTCGTATTTTGACGAATACAGAACCAAAATCGAAAGAGATGTAAAAAATATATTCAAATAGTACAAAAAGTTATATATTGTACGAATCGTACAAAAAACACGAGTTTAATGTGTTTTGTCGATGTCAATATATTTCGATTCAATTTGCCGCAAAATTCAAGACAGATCTAGAAAAAGGATTTAGTAAATTTTGGCAAAGGTTAAAATTTAGTAAATTTACAGTTGAAATATACGTTAATTTGTTGGTATGTGGAAGTTATTTTATGATATATATATATATATGGTGTTATTTTCTTCGCGTGTGTACTAAATAAATAACCAATAAACAATTAATAAAAGAATTAAAACGAATTATCTAATATAATTAATTTAGAAATGGTTGCAAATTTTGTACGAGCTGCAGCATATATCTAATCTTGGGTAATTTAATTTTCAACGATATGCAGAATGTAATGCTATAGGGATCATTGCGAGAGAAAGGAAGATATACATATGAAATTACATACAGTCTGTTTGATAAGAGGGTGTCCGACAAAACTTTTACATGGAAATCGTTCGACAGGAAATTCCAACAGAAGCTGGTAGAGAGACATTTCGCTTAAGATGCTTTGTAAAGAAAGCTTCAATTGTTCGGCCTTCGTGACAAAAAGACATATTTCGTCATGAGTGCCGCATACTCATCGCGATTCGAAGCCGTTTCTCTGTACACATCTGAAAGGATAAAAAATGTCGTACCAAACAGCTGCTAAGTACATGAAAAAGTCTAAGACATTTGTAAGTAAGTGGATGAATCGCTGCGTAGAAGTGAAAAACGTCGACGATTTACCGGAACGTGGCTCTATACAGAAAACGACGGACAAGGAAGACAAACTGATTCTACAGATGTTTGCGAACAATATTCGTCTATTATTACGAGGTGAACAAGCAGCGTTAAAGGAAAAAAGATCTAAATATATCATGTGACACAATAAGAAGACGACTACGTGCTCATAATGTGAAATATCGAAGCACAGAAAAGAAATCTTTGCTATTCGAAAAACACGTCGAGAAAAGAATTGCTTGATCGCAAGAAAATATGGCCATATTGGACCTGCCATTTGGAGTTTTGCAAAATAGATTTAATTCATAATCAGCGACATTTGTGTGCGAATTTCAATTAAATAATAACAGGCTAAAAATAATAACAGGTTTTTCCATATTTTGACATAAAAGATAACTAAGAAATTGGAGATAAATCAGTTTCTTCAAGTATTCCCCAAAATTTATTTGTGAAGTCAAATTATATTAGGAGTGTGATTCAATTTTGAAGGTTTTGCAAGAGATGGTACTAATGTCAATTTTGTCGAAGACATTTTAATCATAGCTATTATTTCTTAATGTTTTAATATTAGTCAGTGATATTTAGTCATTTACTAACAATAGATGCAGTAAAAATCGTGTTAATACTATCTTAAGAATGAAGCTTCCTAAAGAGTATTCGAACATCGATTAAGACATGTGAATATTGGTTTAGATGATTCAAAAGTGGTGATTTCAATGTTAATAGTCGCTTGGGATAACCAAAAAAGTTTGAAAATGCAGATTTGCAAGCATTATTAGATGAAAATCCAGCATAATTCACTTCAGAACTTACCAGAGCATTATTATTTTGTCTAAATAAATCAATTTTTAAGTAAAAAGAATCATTCAAAACTAAATCACACTCCTAATATTTACGGAAGTAAGCGGTTAAACACGAATTTTATTTGGTCATAAATAACATTTTATTTATCACAAAATTATAATCAAATCTGTTACCAATTTGTCAATTCATTATACTAATAATTTACTTATTAAATTATTTCGTTAAACTATTTTAACAATACTGTTTGGCTTGAGACTGGCATGCAACTAATTAAGGTGGAGTTTTCTCCTTTAATTATAGCTGAACTTTTAATTGGTACAGCTATTTGTGTTAAGCTTGACAACGTTGCGAGATTATCACGTATGAAAAACTTCACATCACATTTTTACTTTATATCAAAAATAACAATCAACACTTTTCATGTATGCGATGTTCGTCGTGAGAAAATTTTCGTGTACGATATATGTACATACATCGTGTAATTTCGAGAATAAGGTCGCTCATCGTTCCTATTAAAGAAAAGTTGATCATAAATTCAATTGTCTAGAATAGTCTTTAACCATTAGACACACTTTTTTCAATTTCTACATAAGCATTTTAAGAATTTAAATAACATTTCTACAATTCCACAAAAAGCAAAAAGTGAACGAATGAAATTAGCAATTCAAACGATTCTTTTGAGGTAAATTCGGTGGTCTAGGAAAAATCGTTGATGTCGACAAAATCAATTTTGATTGGCGTATTGGAGTTTGATTGGCGTAAATACGAACGAGGTAGGTTAGGTTGAAAGAGCAAGTGTATTTTTAAAGCAAGCCAAGTGGACTCCAAAGAACTCTGATTAGAAATCTGATTAGAAATCCGAGCAATAAACGTGATTCTGAAACTATAACGACATTGATTTAGAAACATATATTATCTGATATAATAATTTTCTCAGACAGTTGGAAAGTCTACGATATACTTGAAACCGTTGCTAACAACTAGATAATTGAATCCCAGTGGAAACCTTTACCACTCAGGTTGCAAAGAGACAGTGTTTCATCAGAGCAATCCTTACGAAAAAAAAAAAACTACAAGAATACGAAGAAATTACTGGCATACTATTAAAGAACTATTAATAAACAACTAATAAACAATTGTCAGAACCAATATTTGGTATTTACTATTTCCACACCTACACAAGAGTACTCCAAAAATTTCAGTTCGCTAGGTTATAGGAGCATCTCGGAACTATAACCGTAAAGAATACATGTCTGTTAGCTTTATTACGTCGTTGCCAAAAATTGTTCAAAACTTTGAAATCATTTCTTCCCGAATTACAGGTAGAGCAATTGTGAGAACGCGTTATATAGGGTAGGGCAATATGTGCGAACGTTGAAATATGGGACAGAGGTGTTTGCTTTATTATAAAACCCAGGCAGAACAGAAAATCATGATGACATTAAAATGACATCAGAATTATGAGAAAATGACCGAATCATGATGAAAAACTGAGTTTTCCTCATCATCTTGATTCTCTCATCATGATTCTCTCAGGGTACCTATTATGGAACTCGTCGGAATCGATTTCGATCGAATTTATTCCGTTATTTCCTAGATTTCTATTGTCTTTTCTAGGGGAAACGGAATTATTCCGATCGGAATCGATTCCGACGAGTTCCATGATAGGTACCCTGTTCTGCCTGGATGCCGCTAGCTCATTGCTGATGAGACTAGGATAAGTGATTGTTGTTCTTTCTTAATTTACTATCATCGTATGAAGATATATTGGATATAACCAAGCACCTTCATCGTTATTAACACAAAAATTTATGTAACAGATATAGTTCACACACACTTCCTCAGGAAGAAACGTCGGAAAATACATTCCATGCAAATCTTACGGAATGATCGATCTTAGGCTTCTCTCTCTATCTCTCTCTGTCTGCTGTCTGTCTCTCTGTCTCTCTCTCACTCACTCTCTCTCTCTCTCTCTCTCTCTCTCTCTCTCGGTCTCTTTTTCTCTCTCTCTCTTTCTCTTTCTGAAAGAAGAAGAAAAATATAAAAATCTCTAGGAAGAAATTCTCTAGGAAGAAGAAAAATATAAAAAAATATGGTTTAATCGCACAAAAACGTCCTATATTCACATCTAAATACAAATTTGTCAAAGGTCAGACGTACTTATGACGTAATTACGCATGCGCGTGACGTTCCGTGAGAATAATTGTCATTAATACTGTTACATCTTATAGATGTCGTTCAGTGTTATCCGAATATATAGCACAATGATAAATTTTTAGATGTTCTTGTAACTAAATTATGTTTTATTTTCTGCATTTAAAAGTGAAGCAAGTATATAGTTGATCATTAGAGAAAAAAGAAGTAAATTGAAAGAAAAGTGCAGCTACAAGGAAATATCTATTGTCAGGTTATGTTACGACCAGTATAACTTCGTCACATTTCACTTTATTTCCAGTCGACAAGGTATACAAATTTAATGCGATATGTGGAATATTTACCTTTAGGAAATATAAAGAGACTGATAAAGTGAGAATAAAATTATCGGAGTATCCGAGTTTGTGTGTGCTGTATAATAAAACGTAGAGGTTATGTCGTTACATCAGTCACGGTCGACCAAAAGTTTTAAAAATTCATGACATGCGGTATATGTTTTCAACAAAAATGCAAAAATTGAATTCCAAGGAGACCATCAATTTGCTGGACCTGCTGTCAGAAAGCGATTCTGATAGTACTGACTTGATTCTGACACCTAAAAAGAAGAAAGTCAAACGGTAATGTTTGTTTCTGTGATAATAAATGTGTGTATGTGTATAGGAATTTTGAGATAATTTCTTCAAATAGTTAATTTAAGCAATCAATATATATAGCTTCTTTTTTTGTATTTCTTTAATCTCAATATAATTAATTCTAACATATAATTAATTCTAACATTAATCTCCCTTCCTTTCTATGCTTTTGAATTACAGACAACATAGGTCAAGAGCCTTAAATAGGACAAGACACAGTAATTTTTGTGGTTGTAATAAGTCAGATATGCGAGTGATATCTTTATGGTTGGCAGCTGTACTAATCACATTTTGGTTAATCGCCTTGTCTTGGCTAGCAGCAATACTATATGGAGAAATTAAGAAAATGGATATATCGATAAAGTCAGGTAAATGGTACTTTAATTTATGTAAATGGAATAACATTTACATTTAAGTGGTAAGTACAAAATATTAATTGAATTGTTGATATTGGAGTATGAAAGGTTTTAATTAAATCTATTTGCGTTTAATATATATGTATTACATTTCCTCTTACCTTTCAATGTGCCCTTTTTTCTCTGAAGCTTTATTCATTATTTTTACACACATACATATACATACATATATGTAAGGTGAAGAATGTAATGTCAAGAAGTAGTCAGCTAACTAGGAGATAAGAAAAGCTTAAGTAGAATATATAATATATGTAAACCTTTTTGTATTTGCTATAGTTTAATAACTACAATATTTTATACAGGTGTACAGAAAGTGTTGAAGTCTCTTAATATTTTGAAAAATTCTCATTTTCGAAAAAATATCTCGTACAAAAATTATGGAATATTTTATGTAACATATTGCATGGTAAAATTAGTATAATCTTGAACAGCGTTTTCGAAGTCACATAAGGATTTAAAATTAAAAAATTTCAAAATAATTCATACGTGATCTTGTTACTATTATTTTATTTATATTTTATTTATATTTTTATTATATTCTATTTATTCTATTATATTATTATATTACTATTATTCAAAATTATACTAATTTTACAATATAATAAGTCATGAAATCTTGTAACCTTTATATGGAATATTTGAAAAAAATGTGTATTTTTTTTAAATATTAAGAGGTTTCAATATCTTTTCTGTACATTTATATAAGATCTGTATAACTTATTTACTAAATTGTAGCGAATACAAAATCAGTTCATATACATTATCCTACTCAGCTTAAACTCCTTCTCTACTTCTTAGTTAGTTAGCCTTACCTTTTGATATACTTTATATATACTTTATATATATACTTATATATATTTTATATACACACGCACACACACACACACACACACACACATATATATATGTGTGTGTGTGTGTATGTGTGAGAGTATCAAATTATTTATTACATAAGTTTTATTTTAACTTTATATAATATACTTTTAAGATGAAATTGAAATATATGACAATGTATGTAAACTTTCTTTTTTAATTGAATACATACACACATATTGGATTTTAAGCAAGAAAAGACAAATGCAGCCATCTTTCCTCATAATGTTAAAATTTTATCTCAATGTCAACTTTGTAGTGTTTAATTGACATTGATATTATATGAAATATGTTAATTTTATTATAGCATAAAACTTATATATACATATATGTATAATTATTAATATATACATAAATATATATATATATATATTTATATAATGTGATATATGTGTATGTGCGCACACTATTATGCATTTATTAATTAATTTAATAATCATTTTCATTTATCTTATATATATATATATATAGTAAAATTAATATCAATGTAAAACACCCCATATAGTAGAAAATGTAAACATTACGAAAAAAAATATCTGCAATCTTCTTGTACTTAAGATTCAAGTATGCGTGCGTACGTGCGTGTGATGCGTGCGAATTATTTGTCCAAATAAAATATAAATACACATCGCATATTCCAATTTCATCTTAAAAATGCATTGTTCTAGATCAAAACAGCAACTATGTAATAAATAATTCGTATTTTTAAATGTTATATACACAGGACGCTTCATTATTCGAAATTTTATACAATACCAAAATATAGTTCCTTTTTAAAATTAGAAAAAGAATTAGAACGTATAAAATATATAAGATTTCGTTAATAAGTTCGGTCTCTGAAATATAAACGTTACTCGGACATTAATTTTGATTGTACATTCCAATCGGTAGCAACAAACAGAGCTCGTTGAATCCGCACGACACGCACGTCGCGATTGTTCGAAATTTCATATGTATCGCATTCTTATCAGAGAACCAACGGTCCTCAGTCGTCTACCAACCCTCGGTCAGTCGATATCGGATGGCGGCGCAGCTGGTTAAGTGTCGTGTTGCGACGCGCGCCGTTCTACGATTTCGTAGGGAGTTCGTCGTTTTGTGTACCGAAGCATCCGTGTGTTGGCTCAGTGATTCTCACCTATCGAACCTTAATCAGTGAATATCATCGGCTCGCCTCCAGGACGACGGGATTCCCGTCGGGAAAGTGACACGCTGCTGTACTGCCGTCCGTTTCCTTTCGCCGCGGCGCGGTAATCGATTAGAATCACCTCTATAATTCACCCCTTCGTAGGTCAAGTTCTGCATGCACGGGAACTCACTTCTTCCTCCCCCTGTTCCTCTTACCCTTTTCTTCATCATCTTGGCCGGATTACGTTGCAGGACTCGTATTCTCATCGCGCGTTTCTACTATAATTATGTGAGTGAGTGTTGGAAAGAATCCCGAATATTTTGGAAAGAGAAAAATGATAGGAGTTAATATAAATAAAGTCAATGACGGCTAACGATTCAAACGTCAGATTATAAGAGAGATCTGGATAATTAAAATATTCCCGACATTTACGACGGGCTCGCATTCGCAATGTGTAATATGATAATTTTGAATCCGACTTATGATCTTTCCAATGTTACACGCAATGTCAACGCAAGAGACGACGATCAGATGGCTGCGTTAAAATGTGTGACGAGAGTGTGAAAATTTGCGATGTTCTCCGCTCTACACTATTTTCGATCGGGGATTAACGAGAAACATTTATTTGATGCGAGAGGATAGAGAATAGTGGAGAATCTCGCGAAGTTATATCGTCAAATTCGCTCGTCATAACTCGAGTAGTATAAAAAATCGTCATAATCAAAATGACGAGAAAATAGCTGTGAACTCGCTCGCTTTTTTATCATGATTCCATAATTTCCCCGTCATTTTGATATCATATGATTTTTGTCTTATCTGGGACCCACCTACATACGTGTTATCGCACGGCAACGTGTGTGTGACTATACCGTTCTGACGCACATACAATAAATATTTGAACACATCGTGTATATGTAGGAACGTTAGGATTCTCGGCTTGACATATCGTCGATATGTCTCGCTACCGTGACTGTGCTTCGGCGTTTCTTTTCGTTTCCAATTCAGCAAACTCGACATATCATTCCGATATACATGGTGTTCGAAAATACGGTATTAAGGTCAGAATTATTAACGATTAACACGATCTATTTCCACCAGAGCGATTGAAACAATCGACAGAGATCTTCGGAGAGTTATGCAAACATTTTTATTTATTGTAGTATTGTTCGACGCCCACTAAAAATATAAAATGCATTGTTATGTAAAAAATCACATACATTTTGCTTCCAAGAAATTCTCTTCTCATTAAGAAATTGCAAATTATTTTGACCACTTCCTGGTAGTTCTAATATTGATTTAATATATTGAGGTTTTCACCGTGTAGGGAAATGCTAGATTTGGCTTCCGGATTGAAGCTGTTTTTTTTTTTATGAATATGTTTCCAACATCTAACGAATACTCTCAGTTTATTTCATTAGGAAGAAAAGCAATCCAATATTAATATTAATGGTGGATTGTCGGGCGAATTTTAATTGAATCTTTCCCTGTCTGGATATGTATGTATACATATAATATTGCGTGTGTGTGTGTATAAATTTATCATTAATATTAATATTAAATTGTTCCTCTTCCTTTTATGTGTATGCATGCGTGTATATGCAAGCGTGGGCGTGTAAAGGACATTTTCTGTCAAACGGACACCCCTTTAAGTGATATTAAAATTTCTGATTGGGCAAAATTTATGTTAACATATAAGCTTTTAATTGCTATGTAGCCTTTTGAAAAAGTCAAAATGGCTGCTCCAATATGGTGACTGGAATCTGTAAAATCAGTGAAATAATTTTTTTAACGATTATCATGATTATATAATCATGAAATTACATAAAAATTAACTTGAAAGCTTCCGTTTAGGAGCAAAATTTGTATTTCTGTATAATCTTTCGATTGCAACTTGGCATTTTGTAAAAATCAAGATATTTGGAAAAATAGTGATGTTTGAAACTTCGATCCGCCATATTCCACCCACTATCTTGGGTTTCTCAATATGTCATATTGCCATCGGAATGTTATATGGACAATTTTTGCCTTTGTTTAGACATAAATTTTCTAATTAATTCTTATATAATTTGATAGTTTCATGAGATTTTTTACTCACTCTAGAGATTTCAATCGCTATCTTGAAGTCGCCATCTTGATTTTTCCAAAATGTTCATTTGCAATCGAAAAGTTACATAGAAATGCAAAGTTTGTTCCTTGTTAAACGTCGAATTTCAAGTCAATTTTCATGTAATTGCATGATTGTGTTAAATTTTTCTCAGATTTTACTGATTCAGCCGCCATATTGGAATTGTCGTTTTGTATTTTTCAGAAGGCTACGCTGCAATTGAAAGCTTATATGTTAACATAAGTTTTATCCCCAATCAGAAGTTTCAACGTCGCTTAAAATTTTAGATAAGTGATCGTTTGACATAGAATGTGCCTCACACACATACAGACACACACGCACATATTTTTTTAAATAATCAAGTATTTGCATTTTCTTTCTTTTATTATAGTGCACAATGTGAGATGTAAAACTTTTATTACGTACGATGCGTCACTAAATATTGATTAATTGATAAGTTTAATGAAATCGACGTGCAAGTTTGGCATGTGTCGATTCAAGAAAGCACGTTTTAATCAGTAAATGCTTGATCAACATGGTATCCTCGGAATGATTTCTAACGTGCGAATACTTGCATTGCCGGTACTTGTTCGTTGTCAATGCGCATTGTATTATCTTGAGACGTGCGTCTTTCGACAGACACGCAATGCACATCGGAAATTAAAAAATATGTGACTTTGCGGAAAATCCGTCGAGATAATAGACACAATCACGCGATTTAATTAGAGATCGAGAGGAAACTAAATTTAACCGTCGCGATCATTGTGATTAATCAGCATCGACATTACACTAATCAGATCAATTATTTGTTGTCATATGATGGAATTTTGTTCGAACGTCGACTCGCACGAACAGCAGATTAGTGTAAAATATTTCGAATATTTGCATTTAATATCTCAAAGTCGACTTATTGTCGACAATATATTTGAAAAAGTATATTTTCATGTATATTTTATTTGTAATTGAATTCCAACTTTACTTCGTAATATATATTCTCCTATTAGTATTTTATTTATTATTATTTTATTATATTGAATTTTAATCTTGCTTCGTAATATATATATTCTCTTATTATTTTATTTATTATTATTATATTTTATATTTATGTTTTTTATTTATTATTATGTTTATATGTTTTATATTTATTATTATATTTATATTTATATGTTTCATATTATGTTATTTTATTATTATATTTTATATTATAATGGTTTTAATATTAAAACTTTAATATTGGTAACTAAATTTTTCTTTTTTTCTTGATTTGAAACATTTATCTTACATACTTTTATTTATCTTACATACTTTACTGACGATTTCGATTTTATACAAGGAAGATATGTTGATCAAAATTGAGCATATTTATTCGTACTATAAATGAAAAATTAAATTTATTCTCTTCTCGTGTTGATATGTAGTTTAGGGATTCGTCGCATACGGATTTGTGTCGCAACAGATCAAGACGATCGAATCATGAATCGATTCGAATCGAATCATGAATCATGATCGATTAAATCATACAAGCTCTTCATCAATTATTTAGATTTTAAGTGCTTAAAAAATGATGACAGATGAGTAAAAGGAACGTGGTCAAGGTCTACTGAGTGAATTTGTTTCTGAGTGATTTTTATAAAATAAGTTTTCTTATTGAATTATGTCGAATATTTTTCGAAATACGTCAGAAAACATGTTTAAACTTATGCAGATAATTGTATGTTTGTGTCTTGTAAGCAAAATGTACGTAAAATTGTAAAATTTTAATTCTCACGCTTTATCACAAAATTGTAGTAACATATTATTAAGCCATCAATGACTGAAGAGTGGCAATAGTATTATCGCTTTATCTATTAATCCATTAATTGTTCATTTTATCATAGATAAAAATACTATTACAACTCAAAATAAACTAAAGTAAACAGTACTTAACATTTATTTGCTCTTATCATATTTAGTATTTTATTTAAGATCGAGGTAGCAGTTTGATATAACGAAGAAACGATCGAATTTGCGTGCCAAACGTCGCGCTGACATATTTCTTACTGAGCCACCTCTTATATTAGGAGGTTGAATTAATTCTGGTCTTATTTTATCGATTTTTATCTTTATTTTAAAGAAATGGTTAAATTTACATCAATCAAAATATTTTCCATCGTTAGCTGTGACTTCTTCCCATCTTTCTGGCAACATAGCGATTCTACGATAGAACGATCTGTCTTTTGAAGCAATCTAATCAGACAGCCATTTTCGCACATCCTCCTAATTATTGAAGTGTGTATCTGCCAAAGCGTGTAGCATTGATCGGAAATATAGATGGTAATCAGATGATGCTAGATCTGAAGAGTACACTGGATGCGGAAAGATTTCCCATTCAAGCTCTAACAATGTTTGTTTTAACAATGTTTGTCTAACAATGTTTAACGATTGAAGCAACATGTAGACCAGCATTATCGTGCAAAAGAATCACTTTGCGTCTATTGTTAGCTATCGCTGGCCTTTTTTGCCTTGAATTCATCATTCAATTTGTTCAATTGTTGCTGGTTCAATCGTTCCCCCATAACTGTTTCATTTGATTTCAGAAGCTCATAGTACACCATACCTTCCATATCTTATCAAATACAGAGCATTGCTTTGTGACCGTGAATGTTCTGTTTTGGTATCGATGTTGATGGTTGTCCTGGATCAACCCATGATTTTTCACTTTGGATTATCAAAATAAATTCACTTCTCATCTCTCCAGTTACAATTCGCCACAAAAAACTTTTTTCTGTCTGGCAAATAAAGACATGGCGATATTCAAACGATTTGCAATGGCACTTTCACTCAATTCATGTAGAATTCATTTGCCTTACGTTTGAATTTTTTCCATGGCGTGTAGACGTTTAAAAATTGTTGATTTATCGACGTTGAGTTGTTCAGCCAATTGTTTTTCCGTTTGAGCGGTGTTTTCATTCAATAATACTTGCAATTTAG